GCAGGCTTGACCTTCATCTTGACCATCTGTAAGCCTCATTTCATTGTTGAGAACTTTAATACTAATGTCTTTTACATTGGACTTATTCTTGTATGTGGATCCAGACATTCATGCTAGAAGGAGTGTGAAGCTATATTGTAGCTGATGATGGACATTTCTGTCAGTTCCCCTGCCCTTGACCTATTATTGGAGTTCCACAAGGTCATAAACCAGAAACCTATTAAGTCTGTTGATGAGGGTGTTATGACCCCATGTGATGTTTCTTAGGGAAGGTGTTCATGATGCATTATTATGAAACCATAGTGCCATGAGCAGAAGGCAATAATGGATTAAGTACATCAAATAACTTACCATGGAAAACTGTATTGCCAATATAAAATATAAACTTACACTCGTACAGTTATATTCACTGGTATATACAATGCACTGAGAGCAATGTCACACCCCTAGTGGCATAATTATGCAAAATTGATATTACTCTCCCAGGAAGGCAGAATCCTTTTTCGAACCGCATCCAATCAATGTCTCTGACTTTATTGTGTGATATACTAATACTCCTTTGCTTCCTTTTGACCCACTCTAACCCCATAACATTATAATTGCATGCAAGCAGAATAAGTGGATTTGTGAGCCTTGTAGCATGTTTGGAGTCGTTACATTTCACTTCTGTATCATTATGTACTAGGAACTTTTTGTTTCCTTTGTCAGAGTAAATACATTTTTATCTTAACCAATATATAAAACACTCTGGTGTACTTACACTCCTCTGTACTGGATAGTGTGAAATAGAGGGTCTAGGTGTGTGTGATCTCTGACAGGTGAGCTCTAGAATGCCCACAAGGTTGTAACATTGTCACACCTGACAGGAAGGTAAATTAGAGTCAAGTGTCCAAGAAGGTGTATGTATTTTAACACCAGACAGGTAGGTAAGCAGAGTGTCCCCTGTCTGTATAGGTGTATGTCTAGTATATGTTAGTGTATGTATAGTATATGTAGGCATACATTGTATGTCTAGTGTATGTAGGAGTATGTTGGTGTATATCTAGTATAGTGTATGCAGGTGTATGTCTAGTGTATGTTGGTGTATGCCAAGTGTATATGTTGGAATATGTCTAGTGTATGTTGGTGTATTTATAGATTGTGGGTATTTGTGTAATGTATGTTGGTGTATTTATAGAGTATTTAGGTGTATGTCTAGTGTATGTTGGTGTATGTATAGAATATGTAGGTGTATGTCAAGTGTATGCAGGTGTATGTAAAGTGTATGTATAATGTATGTAAGTGTATGTATAGTGTTTGTAGGTGTATGTATAGTGTATGTATAGTATTTGTAGGTGTATGTTTAGTGTATGTTGGTGTATGTATAATGTATGTAAGTGTATGTATAGTGTTTGTAGGTGTATGTATAGTGTATGTATAGTATATGTAGGCATATGTCTATAGTGTATGTAGGTGTATGTATAGTGAATATGAAGTGTATGTAGGTGTATGCCTAATGTATGTAGGTGTATGTATAGTGTATGTATAGTATTTGTAGGTGTATGTATAGTGTATGTATAGTGTATGTTTAGTGTATGTAAAGTGTTTGTAGGTGTATGTATAGTGTATGTATGGTGTATGTTTAGTTTGTGTATAGTGTTTTTCGGTGTATGTATGGTGTATGTATAGTATATGTATAGTGTTTGTAAGTGTATGTATAGTGTATGTATAGTGTTTGTAGGTGTATATATAGTGTATGTTGGTGTATGTATAATGTTTGTAGGTGTATGTATAATGTATGTAGGTTAATGTATAGTATATGTAGATGTATGCCTAGTGTATGTATAGTGTACATGTATGAAGGTGTTTGGGGGTGTATGTATAGTGTATGTAAGTGTATTTATAGTGTATGTAGGTCTATGTATAGTGTATGTATAGTGTATGTAGGTGTATGTAGGTGTATTTGTAGCATATGTTGGTGTATGTATAGTGTATGTTGGTGTATGTATAGTGTATGTATAGTGTATGTTGGTGTATGTATATTGTATGTTGGTGTTTGTATAGTGTTTGTATATTGTATGTTTAATGTATGTTGGTGTATGTATATTGTATGTTGGTGTATGTATATTGTATGTTGGGGTTTGTATAGTGTTTGTATAGTATATGTATAGTGTATGTTGGTGTATGTATATTGTTTGGTGGTGTTTGTATAGTGTTTGTATAGTATATGTATAGTGTATGTTGGTGTATGTATAGTGTATGCATAGTGTTTGTATATAGTGTATGTAGGTATACGTATAGTGTATGTTAGTGTGTGTCTAGTGTATGTTGGTGTATGTATAGTGTATGTTGGTGTTTGTACAGTGTTTGTATATTGTATGTTTATTGTATGTAGGTGTATGTATAGTGTATGTAGGTGTATGTATATTGTATGTTGGTGTATGTATAGTGTTTGTATAGTGTTTGTATATTGTATGTTTATTGTATGTAGGTGTATGTATAGTGTATGTAGGTGTATGTATATTGTATGTTGGTGTATGTATAGTGTATGTTGGTGTTTGTACAGTGTTTGTATATTGTATGTTTATTGTATGTAGGTGTATGTATAGTGTATGTTGGTGTATGTATATTGTTTGGTGGTGTTTGTATAGTGTTTGTATAGTATATGTATAGTGTATGTTGGTGTATGTATAGTGTATGCATAGTGTTTGTATATAGTGTATGTAGGTATACGTATAGTGTATGTTAGTGTGTGTCTAGTGTATGTTGGTGTATGTATAGTGTATGTTGGTGTTTGTACAGTGTTTGTATATTGTATGTTTACTGTATGTAGCTGTATGTATAGTGTATGTAGGTGTATGTATATTGTATGTTGGTGTATGTATATTGTATGTTGGTGTATGTATAATGTATGTAAGTGTATGTATAGTGTATGTTGGTGTATGTATAGTGTATGCATAGTGTTTGTATATAGTGTATGTAGGTATACGTATAGTGTATGTTAGTGTGTGTCTAGTGTATGTTGGTGTATGTATAGTGTATGTTGGTGTTTGTACAGTGTTTGTATATTGTATGTTTACTGTATGTAGCTGTATGTATAGTGTATGTAGGTGTATGTATATTGTATGTTGGTGTATGTATAGTGTTTGTATATTGTATGTTTATTGTATGTAGGTGTATGTATAGTGTATGCTGGTGTATGTATATTGTATGTTGGTGTATGTATATTGTATGTATAGTGTATGTTGGTGTATGTATAGTGTATGCATAGTGTTTGTATATAGTGTATGTAGGTATACGTATAGTGTATGTTAGTGTGTGTCTAGTGTATGTTGGTGTATGTATAGTGTATGTTGGTGTATGTATATTGTATGTTGGTGTGTGTATAGTGTTTGTATATTGTATGTTTATTGTATGTTGGTGTTTGGATAGTGTATGTATAGTGTTTGTATAGTGTATGTTTATTGTATGTTGGTGTATGTATAGTGTATGTGGGTGTATGTATATTGTATGTTGGTGTATGTATATTGTATGTTGGTGTTTGTATATTGTATGTTTATTGTATGTTGGTGTTTGTATAGTGTATGTATAGTGTTTGTATAGTGTATGTTTATTGTATGTTGGTGTATGTATAGTGTTTGTATAGTGTTTGTATATTGTATGTTTATTGTATGTTGGTGTATGTATATTGTATGTTGGTGTATGTATATTGTATGTTGGTGTTTGTATAGTGTTTGTATATTGTATGTTTATTGTATGTTGGTGTATGTATAGTGTATGTTGGTGTATGTATATTGTATGTTGGTGTATGTATATTGTATGTATAGTGTTTGTATTGTTATGCCTCCCCATAACTTTTGAATGTCTCTTTGATGATGCATACAAAAAGTAACCACTATATAAAGGGTGTTACTTTACCTTCATTTTAAGATCAAAGTGTCAGTGTAATTAATATGTATTATGCTTTTCAGTTGGCATTATTTTTACTCGTTGAGTCCAGGCATCAGATACTGAATGATGCCTACATTTTTGTTCAGCTGTATTTTAGGTGTTGAAAACAAATGGAAAGTCCTAGACTTAATCCTTTCATCACTGTAGACCATAATGGACTCATCCAGATCAATGCATGGTAGAGACTACTAAAGTTACCTAGGGGTGAGGGGGTTAAGAAACTTACACCATAGATACACAGTCCATATATATTGCACTTATCTTAAATCATGCATCAGCTGCTCACGAGTCCAGTTTGTACAGTCCACAGGTACAAGCCTCCTATGTTGGCTATAGTAACTGCGTACAGTCCAGCGACTTTGTCAGTTCTTTCATCAATGTTAAGTTTTCGTATTTAGCTGACATGTTTCTCAAGACGTCTAAGTGCAGGACAAACATGGATTGTAATCAATTCCTAGGTATTCTATGTGGTTGCTTGTTTTAAATGTTAAATATTACTTTGGTTTCCTGGATCAGTTACTTTTTTGACATATCCTAATCTGTGTAAAACTGTTTTTATGTGTTTAAGCTATGGTCAACACTTGGATTGTACATTCATCATAGGTAGTGAATCTCAATATCTGCTCTGGATAATAAATAAAAATGTATTTACACTTTCCATTATTGTAAGCCAAACTTTGATAATTTAAAAATATGCGAACAAACATTTTATGAAAATACATAGTCATATTTCAAAATTAAAACTGAAAACCAAGTTCAATACAGTAATTTTTTGTTTTCTCAAAGGAATACATCCTTAATGTCAAATCAGAGGCAGGTGATACATACACTATTAGTTAGGTTTTTTTTAAGTTTTGTATTTAGCTAACATTTTTTAAAGTAATTTTATCTCCAACACACACAAACATGTGGAACATTAATGCATACTATTTTTTTAATGGATTGGAACTTCAGTAAAACAAGGATAACAGTTATATCTACGTCACCGAGCATAAGAAAAAAAAACTGATTTAAAGCACACAATGCTCTGTTGATAGGTAGATGTTCCCCTTCTGTGCATCAGGGGGGACAACTCAAAATTGATCACACTCTCATAGACTACGGAAGCCTGATGACCAAACCGGGAAGTAATTACTTTTGGTGGTCGTGAGTCACCTACTGTCCAGTTACACCGGGCTTTCCTTGGGAAAACAACTGATAATGAAAATATGTTTTCATAATATTTCTACATTGACAAAGTAAACATCAGTCTTGCTACAGCTCTGATTATACACCATGGGATCGACTGATTCCGGGATCTGTTTTGAAGGACTTCTGGTGAAAGTGGCGGTAAGTAACTAAGTTGTCCAAGTGTCACCCTATATAGGTAGGACACGACACGCTTTAGTTTTATAGATTTTCTCCAGTTTTCTAATGGTCTTGATACAAAGTGATTATCAGAAGTTGATCAATCTCAATTTATCTCCATCTGTTGATAGTTTTGGGCCATCGACCCGCCCACATCCTGTATCGTAATGTCCACCTGTTGATCTGTTGATGTTTACATATTCACTGTATGTAGGCTTGATAAACGCAGGTGTCTTATGGGAGCAGTGAGATTAGGCCTAGATAATTATGTCATGTCACTTTCTGGGGATTTGAAATAAAGAAAAAAAGAACATCAACATATTAAAACATAGGCGCGTGTTTTTGGAATTCTTGTTCGCATCTAGAATTAAAATCCAAAATCGACGATGTACACGCCAAGGTGCTATTCTTAAAAGTAACATATATGCAAGCGCCTATGATTAAACATATGTAGTCATTGTCAACAGAAATTATAACATCAAAGCTGATTTATGCTTTGGATGACGGGCGAGAGCAGGAGACTGCATGCATGGCCCCTTTAACGTTCCTTATAAGATCAAAAGATGTTACACCTATTGTACTTTGATGAGACTATAATTATCAAAATTTGTGTACTATAGGTCCATGCCATTCAATGCAAATAATATACAATAGATCTAGAAGTGTGTACAGTCTGTACACTTTAAGTTCCTGGTTATCTAGGTCAATGTTTCATTCATTTCTTACATTGCCAAGACAATCAAAAAGTCTTCCTCGTGACATACTAAGTATCTTAGTTAACAGGTTGAAGCTGGGTAAACACTATGGCCGAATACATTCATAGCTTCTGTTTCTGATTTTTGTGTTTTGCATTTTTATGGTCGTAAGGACGGTTGATCATTTTAGTTTTTTTGAGACCTCATTTGATTAAATGTCTGTTGAAGGTCATTAAGATCTCCTGTGATTGTAAGTCTCTGCTGGAGGTCATGGAAATCTCCCATGATTGCAAATCTCTGTAGGACGTTTTGGAGATCTCCGATGATTTTAAATCTCTGTTGGAGGTCATTGATATCTCCCATGATTGTAAATCTCTGTAGGACGTTTTGGAGATCTCTGATGATCTTAAATCTCTGTTGGAGGTCATTGATATCTCCCATGATTGTAAATCTCTGTAAGACGTTTTGGAGATCTCCGATGATTTTAAATCTCTGTGGGGGTCATTGATATCCCCCATGATTGTAAATCTCTGTAGAACGTTTGGAGATCTCCGATGATTTTAAATCTCTGTGGGGGTCATTGATATCCCCCATGATTGTAAATCTCTGTAGAACGTTTGGAGATCTCCGATGATTTTAAATCTCTGTGGGGGTCATTGATATCCCCCATGATTGTAAATCTCTGTAGAACGTTTTGGAGATCTCCGATGATTGTAACATCTCTGTGGGGGTCATTGATATCTCCCATGATTGTAAATCTCTGTAGAACGTTTTGGAGATCTCCGATGATTTTAAATCTCTGTGGGGGTCATTGATATCTCCCATGATTGTAAATCTCTGTAGAACGTTTTGGAGATCTCCGATGATTTTAAATCTCTGTGGGGGTCATTGATATCTCCCATGATTGTAAATCTCTGTAGAACGTTTTGGAGATCTCCGATGATTTTAAATCTCTGTGGGGGTCATTGATATCTCCCATGATTGTAAATCTCTGTAGAACGTTTTGGAGATCTCCGATGATTTTAAATCTCTGTGGGGGTCATTGATATCTCCCATGATTGTAAATCTCTGTATGAGGTTATGGAGATCTCTCATGATTGTAAATATCTTGGAATCTTTTGAGATCTCCAATGATAGTTAGTCTCTGTTGGAGGTCATTGAGATCTCCCATGATTGTAACATCTCTGTATGAGGTCATTGAGATCTCCCATGATTGTAACATCTCTGTATGAGGTCATTGAGATCTCCCATGATTGTAACATCTCTGACATGGTTGAAGTCTGTCTTAGTGCCTATTTTGATTTAGATGGTGTACAAGGATTGATACTGTTTTGTAGAGGGCATGGAAGGTGAAAGGTCACCTGATTGTTTATACTTGCTGTATAACATCATGCTGCCATGTAATAAAACATACCAAAGTATCTGGAACTCCAAGACATTTCAATTCACATCTTTAAATCTTTTAATAGACCTGTTTGATACGACATATGACATGAAAAATATACATCACATTAGCAAGATGAGCAGGCTTAAGTATGTGATAAAAAAATATGTAATGGATAGAAAAAATGTAGGTTTGTTGAGGGTCATCATACTACTATTAAGTAGACCAGATAAAACTGTCTTTTGACAGGATGTTCGCGCTACAAATTATGACCAATCTGACTTGTCACATCCCTTTCGAGGTATAGGGGAAGTATGGGTTAAACAGATAAACAAGGTGATTGGGGTCTCTATCTCATCAAGTACTGATGTACATGTTGACAAACACTACCGCACATTACCTAATAATAACACCTACTCAAGGTTCAGAAACTCTTACAAAATATTACTAATCCCCCTTTTATGAGAGGTATGCACATAATAAAATCATTGGTGATTTTTAGTCCAACTGAGAAGGTTCAGTCAGAGCTCACAGCTGTATAACTGACTGAGGTTATCAGAGTTCACAGCTGTTACAGCTATGGAAGGTTATCAGAGTTCACAGCTGTATAGCTACAGAAGGCTATCAGAGCTCACAGCTGTATAACTGACTGAGTTAATCAGAGTTCACAGCTGTATAGCTACAGAAGGTTATCAGAGTTCACAGCTATATAACTGATTGAGGTTATCAGAGTTCACAGCTGTATAGCTACGGAAGGTTATCAGAGCTCACAGCTGTATTACTGACTCAGGTTATCAGAGTTCACAGCTGTATAGCTATGGAAGGTTATCAGAGTTCACAGCTGTATAGCTACAGAAGGTTATCAGAGCTCACAGCTGTATAGCTATTGAAGGTTATCAGAGCTCACAGCTGTATTACTGACTCAGGTTATCAGAGTTCACAGCTGTATAGCTACAGAAGGTTATCAGAGTTAACAGCTGTATAGCTACGGAAGGTTATCAGAGTTCACAGCTGTATAGCTACAGAAGGTTATCAGAGCTTACAGCTGTATAATTACTGAATGATGTTATCAGAGCTCACAGCTATATAACTGACTGAGTTTATCAGAGTTCACAGCTGTATAGCTACGGAAGGTTATCAGAGCTCACAGCTATATAACTGACTCAGGTTATCAGAGTTCACAGCTGTATAGCTACGGAAGGTTTCAGAGCTCACAGCTGTATAACTGACTCAGGTTATGAGAGTTCACAGCTGTATAGCTACGGAAAGTTATCAGAGTTCACAGCTGTATAGCTACAGAAGGTTATCAGAGCTTACAGCTGTATAATTACTGAATGATGTTATCAGAGCTCACAGCTATATAACTGACTGAGTTTATCAGAGTTCACAGCTGTATAGCTATGGAAGGTTATCAGAGTTCACAGCTGTATAGCTACAAAAGGTTATCAGAGCTCACAGCTGTATAATTACTGACTGATGTTATCAGAGCTCACAGCTATATAACTGAGGAAGGTTATCAGAGCTCACAGCTTTATAATTGAGGAAGGTTATTTTAGAGCTCAGCTCGTCCAAAAAACTAAGGGAGGTTATCTATAGGTGTCCTAATTGAAACATCACAACCAAATCTCACTAAAATCACATTTGAGACCAATTCTCAGTTACAAATATGTGTACATATCTACAACATAAATGTAACTTTTGTAATTTAGGAGAAATATTTTTAAAATTGACCTGAGTTACAATACCATTACTTTTCCTAGATCCTCACATTGAGTTGGGTAAAATGAGATTATCATGATTAGTGTAAAGTGGAATAGAGTCTTGGCTGTGACAGGGATCGTATTGGGAATACTCTGGTTCCCATCTGTCAAACATATGCTGATCATATGATAGATTTAAATATTTATGGGACTGTTAAATACATTCACAGTGGCCATTACTCAACAGGACATAATTCTACCAGGAACAGACAGCAACTGTCAATAGCTTTGGCTCATTCTATAGTACCAACAGAGTAGGACATGGCAAAGTCCAAAAGTATCGGTTGTTTTATTACTGGTCACTCCCCTGAAGAAGGCATTTTATGAACACTGAAGTTGTCAATAGACAATCATTTCTCTGATTGCTGTGTGTATATGACTGACCTGCCTAGGGTAAGTAAGGGGTGTAAGAAATCTATATTTACACCCCATTTCATGTGTGTGATGTCACAATGGAACAACAATGATGTGACGTCACAAAGTCTTGAACAATTTGCTGCTGCAATGTAGCAATTTCAATGCCTTTTTGTGTTTTTTTAATCTAATTCTAGTGATAGGAATGAGAAAAAACCCTCATATCCAGGGGTGTAGGACAGAGACACTCCACCCTCAGGATATTTTAATTGATGCAAAACTCTTGGCAAGCCTAGGATTTTACCCAATTTGAGAACCCCTTAGGTGGAATTTCCCTATTCTACACCCTTGGGCATGTAAGAGTCTTAACCCTTCCTAATTATAATAAGCAGTGACAAATCTTTATTGTTGGGCTGGTGTCCATCCTTTTTATGATTTAGAAGAAATTAATTGTTCCTATTTTACATGAGGATCGATCTTCACATCATCAAAATTTTTGAGGTTTCTAAGATAAATGGAAGCATTCCTTCCGAACTGTATACAACTACACTTTTACGGTATCTAATGATTGATTTGTTTATCTAAAAACGCTGATAAATGTATAGAATTTCAACGTTCTGAAAACAGGAAGAAAATATTTCAATCTGAGGAGTTATGTATTAAAAAAAATGTAAATTTTCCTTTTCAAATAGGAATTTTAAAAGAGGTGAGAATTTAGCCTAGATTCACACGTCCCATATAGGGCCTTAATTTCTAAGACATTCTAATCCCATCCCATTGATATATACATGGGATGCCTGGCAATATACATGGTTACTCATGAGCACCGAGAAATGGCTCCAAAAATAAGGGAAATGGAACCTCAAAGGTCAACATTTAAAGGTATCTTATATGACACCATGCAGTATCACTGCCAAACAATGTAACTAAGTGCTGGAAGTAAGGTTGTTTTTCCAGCATAATAGCTTTGATAAATCTGTTCATCACAGGACTTTAATGAGAAAAGATAAAGATGAAATAATCAAAATATTATCAACATCAGTGTAAAATGTAAAAAAAAATGTCAGTTGGACTAGACCAGGATTCAAATCCCGGTCTTCAGATTGATATGTTACCACCTTGACAGACTGAGCTACCTGGTCAACAGAAAAAGTCTGGTCCAACTGTGTTAAGTTATCGTAATGTGGTGTTAAAGGGAGGTTACTGTATATAGGCTAGGATAAACCGTAATGCAGTCGGACAGGGATCCTTAAATTACGTAATTGAGACTTTTCTTGTACATCTAAGGTGTAGTATAGCCTCCTAGCCCTGAATGTAAGTTCTAAATATATACCATCCCTTTGATAAATAATACAAAAGAGTTTGTGTTGGAGGTAGATTGCTGTCATAATAACAAGGAAGATCATTTTCAGTAATTTTAATTCATTATAAAAATGGAAATTAGGAGGGACCAATTTTAGTTTTGAGTGGCCCGATTGGCCCCTCCAGTAGTATCCCTGTAATACGTATGATTTATTTTATTTGGCTTGACCATGTATTAATATAATACTTGTTTTCTAACAGGCAAACAGGGTAAGTTAGCAATTGAGTAAACAAGGATTATATCTAATATAGTTTATCTGGAATGACCAATATCTTGTCTGTGGATTATTAATTGTGAGCTGACCTTTTTCTTCAACTTTTAACCATATTTTATTCCCTTGAAAACTAACACCTTACATTATGCATAACATGATCAGATGTACTCAGACAACTTGTAAGTGCCACTTCTCCTTGCATGGCTTATAAATCATATGATATAATAAGTTATACTGTAATCTACTTACACTATCTGACTTTAAACTAGAGTGGCTTAGACATGCCAGGCTGGATATTATTGTGTATCTATAGGACTTAGACAGCAAATCTAATTCCGTGGTATCTAATATAATATTTCTATGAAGTTATTGGATATTTAGAACTTGTTTAAAGTTATAAGAGATTAAGCTTTGGTTTAAGATATTGAGTATTTAGTATTTGTTTGAAGTTGGTATTCAAAACAACATGTTTGAAGTTATTAGTGATAAAGGATTTGTTATAGGGTGGGTATTCAGTATTTATTATTTGTTTGAAGATATTTGGTCTATAGGACATGTTTTGATAGGGTATAAAGGATTTGTTGGAAATTATGGGGTAATTAAGATTTTTTTCTTAAGGTTTGAGTATTGAGGATATTTTCATGTGATTATTAGGTATTTATGATTTGTTTTAAGTGTTTGGTATTGAGGATTTGATTTATGTCATTGGTTAGTTTTTTTTGGTATTTTGGCATTGTTTAATAAGGTTATTGATATATTTAGGACTTGCTGGAAGCAGATATTTAGGTTTTTTGGGAGTTTTTGTGTATAGGATTTATTTGTTTTTTTTGGTATTTTTCAGAATTAAGATTTGTTTTCGGTCATGTGGTTTTTATCTTAAGCTTTATTTTAGGTCTTATATAGCTATTGTATAGCAGTTACCTTTATTCTTATACATGTTAGACACTTTTTCATTCAGTTTATCAATCTATTTATAGCTGTGACCTTGAACCAGTTACTCGGATATAGGGTAAAAAAGCAATCATGAGAGTTTTATTAAATATTTTAGTTGTTGACAAACTGACTTGTTCTACATGTCAGTATAGCCTTATCACATACCCCGTTTATTTGGTTTAAGCTTGTGTCACTAGGTGCTTTATGCTGGTATGTGGTTGTAAGTATGTAATTAAGTCTATGAATAAATCCTTCCTTCTAAAATCTTCATATAATGCATGAAAGAATTACATTTTATAGTATCACTGGGACTTAATTTAAGAATAGTTTTATATACAATTTTGATTAATAATTCTTAAATCACTTGATTCTAACAAATGTAAATCCATACACCCCAACTCTATATGTTATAGCAGAAGTTGGAGAAGACTTACATGATATTATGCTAATTGGTTAACAGATTGTAAGATTTTGTATTACATTGTATATCATTTACTGTTGAAGGGGTTGATTTTGCACTGTATAGGATATTTATTACACTGTATATTAGATATGAATACACTATGTATAGAACATTGATATATTGTGCAGGGCATTGATACACTTTGTTGGACATTTGAACAGTGTATTAATACAATGTTTATGTGGCATATAGAACATTAAACACTGTATTGGACATTAATGAATGTTTTACAGGACAATAATACTCTGTATTTCAATGCATATGCTGTAGTTAACATACATTTAGTGTATGCGATCTAAAACATTCTACAGTATATTAGTGCACTGTTTGATACTATAACACTGTTTGGAACATTAATACGTTGTATTGAACACTAATACACTGAAGGCAACCTTGATACACTATATGGTATAGGACATTCATGTGCTGTGGGTGGGACATAAATACACTATATGGTATAGGACATTCATGTGCTGTGGGTGGGACATAAATACACTATATGGTATAGGACATTCATGTGCTGTGGGTGGGACATAAATACACTATATGGTATAGGACATTCATGTGCTGTGGGTGGGACATAAATACACTATATGGTATAGGACATTCATGTGCTGTGGGTGGGACATAAATACACTATATGGTATAGGACATTCATGTGCTGTGGGTGGGACATAAATACACTATATGGTATAGGACATTCATGTGCTGTGGGTGGGACATAAATACACTATATGGTATAGGACATTCATGTGCTGTGGGTGGGACATAAATACACTATATGGTATAGGACATTCATGTGCTGTGGGTGGGACATAAATACACTATATGGTATAGGACATTCATGTGCTGTGGGTGGGACATAAATACACTATATGGTATAGGACATTCATGTGCTGTGGGTGGGACATAAATACACTATATGGTATAGGACATTCATGTGCTGTGGGTGGGACATAAATACACTATATGGTATAGGACATTCATGTGCTGTGGGTGGGACATAAATACACTATATGGTATAGGACATTCATGTGCTGTGGGTGGGACATAAATACACTATATGGTATAGGACATTCATGTGCTGTGGGTGGGACATAAATACACTATATGGTATAGGACATTCATGTGCTGTGGGTGGGACATAAATACACTATATGGTATAGGACATTCATGTGCTGTGGGTGGGACATAAATACACTATATGGTATAGGACATTCATGTGCTGTGGGTGGGACATAAATACACTATATGGTATAGGACATTCATGTGCTGTGGGTGGGACATAAATACACTATATGGTATAGGACATTCATGTGCTGTGGGTGGGACATAAATACACTATATGGTATAGGACATTCATGTGCTGTGGGTGGGACATAAATACACTATATGGTATAGGACATTCATGTGCTGTGGGTGGGACATAAATACACTATATGGTATAGGACATTCATGTGCTGTGGGTGGGACATAAATACACTATATGGTATAGGACATTCATGTGCTGTGGGTGGGACATAAATACACTATATGGTATAGGACATTCATGTGCTGTGGGTGGGACATAAATACACTATATGGTATAGGACATTCATGTGCTGTGGGTGGGACATAAATACACTATATGGTATAGGACATTCATGTGCTGTGGGTGGGACATAAATACACTATATGGTATAGGACATTCATGTGCTGTGGGTGGGACATAAATACACTATATGGTATAGGACATTCATGTGCTGTGGGTGGGACATAAATACACTATATGGTATAGGACATTCATGTGCTGTGGGTGGGACATAAATACACTATATGGTATAGGACATTCATGTGCTGTGGGTGGGACATAAATACACTATATGGTATAGGACATTCATGTGCTGTGGGTGGGACATAAATACACTATATGGTATAGGACATTCATGTGCTGTGGGTGGGACATAAATACACTATATGGTATAGGACATTCATGTGCTGTGGGTGGGACATAAATACACTATATGGTATAGGACATTCATGTGCTGTGGGTGGGACATAAATACACTATATGGTATAGGACATTCATGTGCTGTGGGTGGGACATAAATACACTATATGGTATAGGACATTCATGTGCTGTGGGTGGGACATAAATACACTATATGGTATAGGACATTCATGTGCTGTGGGTGGGACATAAATACACTATATGGTATAGGACATTCATGTGCTGTGGGTGGGACATAAATACACTATATGGTATAGGACATTCATGTGCTGTGGGTGGGACATAAATACACTATATGGTATAGGACATTCATGTGCTGTGGGTGGGACATAAATACACTATATGGTATAGGACATTCATGTGCTGTGGGTGGGACATAAATACACTATATGGTATAGGACATTCATGTGCTGTGGGTGGGACATAAATACACTATATGGTATAGGACATTCATGTGCTGTGGGAGGGACATAAATACACTGTATATATAGGACATTAATAAATTGTGAACATTAATATCCTGTGTGTGGTACATGATGATGAACATTCTGTTAATGATGGATCAGGGAAACATTACATATGTATTATATATATACCTGCTGTGATGATCTGTGTCACCAGTATATATCACTTCGGCTTTGCTTGTTTTGTTTCAAACAGGTAAAACATGCTCCTACAATCTCTTCAAGTGTTGAAAAATGTATAAATTCATATGATTTTGATTTGCAGAAAAGCAGGAATACCCAGAGCCTGTGGTGTACACTTGATGGTGAATCCCTGGCTTTCTACAGAAACAAGGTAGGTACCTGACACACCTGTCTGTCTACACAAACAAGGTAGGTACCTGACACGCCTGTCTGTCTACAGAAACAACGTAGGTACCTGACACACCTGTCTGTGGTACCTGCGCACCTGCCTGTCTACAGAAACAAGGAAGGTACCTGACACACCTGTCTGTCTACAGAACCAAGGTACAAGGTAGTTACCTGACACCCCTGTCTGTCTACAGAAACAAGGTACAATGTAGGTACCTGCGCACCTGCCTGTCTACAGAAACAAGGTAGGTACCTGACACACCTGTCTGTCTACAGAAACAAGGAAGGTACCGGACACACCTGTCTGTCTACAGAAACAAGGTGGGCACCTGACACACCTGTGTGTCTACAGAAACAAGGTAGGTACATGACACACCTAGGCCTGTCTGTCTACAGAAACAAGGTACAATGTAGGTCCCTGACACACCTGTCTATCTACAGAAACAAGGAAGGTACCTTACACACCTGTCTGTCTACAGAAACAAGGTAGGTACATGACACACCTAGGCCTGTCTGTCTACAGAAACAAGGTAGGTCCCTGACACACCTGCCTGTCTACAGAAACAAGGTAGGTACCTGACACACCTGTCTGTCTACAGAAACAAGGTGGGTACCTGACACACCTGTGTGTCTACAGAAACAAGGTAGGTACATGACACACCTAGGCCTGTCTGTCTACAGAAACAAGGTACAATGTAGGTACCTGACACACCTGTCTATCTACAGAAACAAGGAAGGTACCTTACACACCTGTCTGTCTACAGAAACAAGGTAGGTACATGACACACCTAGGCCTCTCTGTCTACAGAAACAAGGTACAATGTAGGTACCTGACACTCCTGTCTGTCTACAGAAACAAGGTAGGAACATGACACACCTAGGCCTCTCTGTCTACAGAAACAAGGCACAATGTAGGTACCTGACACACCTGTCTGTCTACAGAAACATGTTGGGTACCTGACACACCTGTGTGTCTACAGAAACAAGTTAGGTACCTGACACACCTGTCTGTCTACAGAAACAAGCTAGGTACCTGACACACCTAGGCCTGTCTGTCTACAGAAACAAGGTAGGTGCCTGTCATTGTCCCATGGCCTTGCACAGGGTGTTGCTGTATATATATTAGGGCTGCAATGATATATCGCGATATTTTGAATACGGTACAATTCACATTAATTTTTGGGAGGTCGCAATACACCTACTTTTCTTTTGAATTTTGTCGTTTCTGTATTTAGTCTTCTCATAACCCTTCAAACATGGCGAGTGACAGCTCCAGCTTGGTTTGCACGTCGAAAGATGTGAAATGTGTGAAACTTTAAAGTTATGCTCATTTTGGACCAAATCTATTTCCAGTCGTAATATTGCTATTAAGCATTTGCAACATATCTTTTCTCTTTGCTTCTACTGCCATTACTACATGCAAATGTATCGTATTGTGACCACTGTGAGAATCTTGATACATATTGTATTGTCATGTTAATGTATCGTTGCAGCCCTAGTAATTATATTATCATTTATAAATCCTTGATCTGTATTTGGCCCTTCCCCTTATATTAACTTATCTTGGCTGAAGGTCCATTAAAAGGAGTTAGATGTGTCGTGATTCAGTATATGTCCAGCATCTGATTGTAATAACAACTCAGAATTGGCTCAAAGTTTAAAGTAAAATATTCTGTTCACCCTTCCTCCATTTTCTGTCCATGAAGGTTCATTTTCTGATTCTTTTCAGGAACATTCAAAAGTTTTTAATGACATTTTGCACAAAGGTTTCAATCATTGTAGTTCTGACAAATTGGTGGTCTCTTTTGGTCAGTTTGAAATCTACATGACCTCTGATTGGTTGATATATTTTCAACTTCTTTTCTAGAATGGCTTTGCAGATTTTGACCAGGATGGATGTGATTGTATGATTGTTATATGGTCAGTTCTCTCCTCAACAATGTTCTTATTTTTCGGATCAATTCTAAAACAAAGATGGCTAAAATGGCACCTGGTTATTTGACTGGATTTATTAACTGTATTGAACTGTCTATGACAAGAAGGGATATTCATATTCTAACGGTTTTTAAACATTGTAACTGGAAAGAAGGAAAGTCAAATAAAAATTCAGTAATGGAAATCTGAACAAATGCCATAGTTGACTTGATAATCAAGATTTGTCTGGTGTTGTGTACTGGTGCATGGTAAATCAGCTTCAATGAAAAGTATACCGATTTAGAAAGTATGACTTAAACTCAGATATTTATATACATGTACAGTATATACTGCGTGTTTGACAAACTTATAAAAGAGAGCCCCATTGATAACTTTCTGTTTACCGGTGTACAATATTACAGTGGTGTGCTTTCACTTCCTGTTTGGCATGGTATATAATATATATATATACGTCAATAACACGTAGGTGATTCGGTATGTTGTATTTATTTGATTGTCATGAAAATGGCCTCAGGGGTCTGGTCCTATCGATGTAGATATATGTGAAGCCACTTCCCTATATGATGGAGCAGTCACTCGATGATCAAAATTTCTGTATTAACTAACCTAGCAGAATTATTTTTCATGAAGTTTAAGGAAGATAAGACACATTCTAAAGCCTGTCTAACATTGTAATATATATAGTCACTTTTGTCATACTTACTTTGGAAAAAAATCCCTGAAAGGGAAACCTCGACTTAATATCTGAATTAATTGGTGCACCTCAGGAATAGTAAATGATTTATAAAAGGTATGTACACGGGAAGCTCAGGAAGAACTCATGTCATATTTATTTACTTCAAAATTTACTATGGGATGTCCACCAGTGTATTTTATGGAAGTATTGTGTAGATTCTATTGCAGAGGCATGTATGTTTGTATAACACTTCTGTTTTATAGCATTTGTAGAGTGCCCCCATGAGTAAATAACTTTTAGTCAGATCCCATTGCATGTCGTGATATTTCCTGATTATACTCAGTTTATAACTGAAAGGTCTTCAGTATTCATACTTGCCCATGATAAGTATAATGTTATAGATCAGGGACAATCAAAATTTAAAAAAGTCCATAAGGACAGTTTGATTGATTTGTTGAAAAAAAGGCTTTTCATGAGATCTAAATGGACTGAATATTGTTCCATGTATTCAGACCTTGTAATAGAAGTTAAACATTACAAGTCCCTGTGTTCAGAATATCAGAAACTAAACATTACAAGTCCCTGTGTTCAGAATATCAGAAACTAAACATTACTGTTCCCTGTGTTCAAAACATCATAAGCTTACTAGTATATTCAAACATTTTAGTTCCCTGTGATCAGAATATCAGATGCTAAATAAACATAACAGTTCCCTGTGATCAGAACATCAGATGCTCAACATTACAAGTCCCTGTGTTTAAAACATCAGAAGCTTAAGGGTATATTCAAACATTTTAGTTCCCTGTGTTCAGAATATCAGAAACTAAACATTACTGTTCCCTGTGTTTAAAACATCAGAAGCTTAAGGGTATATTCAAACATTTTAGTTCCATGTGATCAGAATATCAAATGCTAAACATAACAGTTCCCTGTGATCAGAACTTCAGACACTAAACATTACAAGTCCCTGTGTTCACACCTATGCATAAGATGTTCTTCAGATTATTTCTTATGATGTTTTTTACCGTCATGGAGTAGGACTAAATATAACCTGTACTGTTTCCTGATTTGTTTGTGGTTTTCTTATGTGAACATTTCCTGATCACATTATGTTTTTCCTTTTCAGCGCGCGTCTTGTATGTTTACGATAGAGATCAGCAGAGTCAAATCTGTTACACCATTTCTAGATAAAAATCAGTTTGAGATTGTCACGGAGAAGAGCTTCCTGTTTGTGAGTATATTATATATATATCCCATAGATCCTATTCTATGTATATGTTCTAGTTCCTGATCTATGTATATGTTATATAATGTTCTAGTTCCTGATCTATGTA